TGTAATCACACAGAGGCCCGGAATGCAGTAACTGATGTATTGTAGAACTTTCAAACAGTACGACAGCCAGGCAACTTACAGTCAATGCAGTGGAAAGTCAGCGGTAGCAAGTCCGAGCTGTAGACAGCGCTTGCCAAGGGAGATGGAATGTGGTCCAACCCAAGAGGGACATATGCCCTAGTCTTTCTCTACTCCTCTGGAACCTTTCACTACAGCTAGTGCTGTCTCTTGATAGGTGGGTATGCTCTCCCTACACTAGCCACTTCGCAAATGTGTGCCTAAACCTGGGGGCAGGGACTTAAAAAGATTTTGCGTGACCCAAGATGGCCACCAGGGTTACCTGGATGCAGTGTAGCCAATCTGAATGCTGCTCCAGGGAACTGAGGGAATCATAGAGAAACCAAGTTATCTTTGACTTCCCCTGTCTACACATGGGCATGGGCAATTTTAAAGCAGTAGTAAACCTTCTCATAAAAAAAAAACATGGGCTCAGGGTGGTTTAAGCCATAATGTGCTAGTATGCGGTGCAAACTAGCACATTATGGCACACTTACCTTAAAACGAAGACCTGCAGCAACGTGCTTTCACCACTTACAAGGCATCCATCTTTATCTGGCCTTCTTTCTAGGTTCGTGGGATCCAGTCCTTTGAATGTCTGAGCCATGATGACGTCACTCCTCTGCATACTCATGGGAGTCACAGCCATGGCACAGAGCTTTGAAGGGACGGCATGAGTATACCATCCCTTCAGAGAGCATGCGTGAGTAACGTCACCGACTGCATCCCCTGTGAATAACTCCTGAACACCACAAGTTTATTATAGGCTTGCCTGTAGGTACAAGTTCAGAAGCGGAGCCTACTACCGCTTTAAGGCTTGACATGTTTGGTATCTATCTTACCCAATGCAATACCATCTTTTACAGTATATTTTACCAAAAATTGGGTATAATGTTGTTTTTTTGCACTAAAATTAATTTTTGTGTATTTTTTTTCCTTGAAAATATGTATTTGATAAATAACAGCATAACTATCATGCTACATAAAACATTGCAACTACCACCATTTTGTTCTCCAGGATCCTTGCATTCAGAAAATATAATAGTTGGAGGCTTTAATGGAATTTCAAGCAAAAATGCAGATTTTAATGTGTGCAAAAAATAAAAAAGTACCCTGGTAGACAAGTGGCTTAAGCCTCATGACATCATTTCTTTCAGAGATACTGTTACTCTAATGGCTGTATCATGTTATACAGCTAAGAATTATCTCCATTCGCGCAGACAACACTTTACAGTAAGGCGTAACCAAGTTGAAGACAAAATGGAAGACAGTCCCATTTATCTAAACGCTTCTCAAGATTCAAAGCAAACTTTATTTAATTACTTCTCTGTACAAGCAGGAAGTTGCTATCACCCATTAAACATGCTAATATGATTAGATGTGACTAGCTACCTTCTTCATCTGTCTCACAGCTTCTTCCCTGATATTTGTACCCAGAAATTTAATTGACAAAGCTCATTCACATCCAAATGTTTTCTTATTATCGAGCTCTTATTTCTGTTTATTATCCCACAGTAGACATTAGTCACTAAGATACTTTAAATGGCTGTAAAACTCATCTTGTACTGCACTTTTAAACATTCACGCTTCCTCTCCTGAGCTGAATTCTGACAAAAATGAAGGTAATTAGTAGGAAACATAAGCAGAGACTTCAGATTTTTCTCATGATTCAAGTGATGTGACTAATTGTTTTTTTAATCTCAGGTGACAGGAGTGACAAGCTGTACGGTATGTGTTGTTCTTATATCTGCAAATGTACTGGGACTGTTGCCTCCATATACGAGGTGTGACAATTTAATTCTCGGAATATCAGCAGCCTGGCCCTATGGTGGTGAGTCTCACAGCCATTTGCACTTGAGCATGTTCTGACATGTTCTAACTAGACCAGGTGACTCAGTCTTTGCAGAGTAGTAGAAGAAATAACACGTGTGTGTTGCACTGTTGTCGGAAAATGAGTGATAGGAATCTTGAGCAGACGTTTACCATCAGATTTTGCTTGAAAATTGGCAAAAGTGGGAGTGAAACTGTGATAAACCACGTGCCGCCCCGATTGGGTGATTCTGTCAAACAACTGCTTCCTTGCCGCTGGGACACAGGACCAAGGTATTATAGCTGGGCATCACACTAGCTTAGGTGCAAAACTGGAATTACTTTATCAAACAGAAATACAAGTTTTTATACAATTCAAAAATAGGGGCAGTCCCCACATGAACAATAGAAACAAATATTACACATTGGGATAAACATCCCACAATGAGTAGATAGCAAGGTAAAACTTACACCAAGCTAATCCCATTATGTAGGAACGTCCAGAAGGACTCGCCAACAGACAGAAACAATATGTGACTCATTTAATTCAAATAACAATGGGAGAAAGACACAAAAAGCACATCGCACTTTAATAAACAGAATAAAGCAAGAGACCTCAGCATCAGGTTGTTTTGAGCTGATTACATTAATATCTGGTCTGAGTCTGGGGGAGGGGGAAGGGGGTTGAAGCAGTCAATGCTAGTTTAGGCACAGAGACCCTGAATCTATATGTTTCTTGGATGCATGTGTGTTTCGGGCACACACCTCTCAAAGATTAGATCCACTCAGATGCCAGGGCCTATAGTCAGTAGGCAAGAGGCTAGCTTGCAGTCTCCTCCAAAAGCCCCTGTTCTGGTTGGGTCTGTTACAGAAACTTTAGCAACAGGCTATGAAGAAATTAAGTAATTTTTATTGCATATGCAGTTTAACCTCCCGGAAGTATTCCCGAGTGCAGCTCGGGGTAAAGTTTCAGTACCAAAAGCGGTAACCCCGAGCTACACTCGGGAATACCATGCAGCGTTACTCAGGGATTCCCTCCAGCACTTACCTTGTCCTCCCGCAATGTGTCCTCTGCAGTGTCCCTGGCCATCTCCTCCGGCCGATGGCGGCATCCATCTTCTGGGTTCCGCTCCCTGCGAGCGTTAGGACATACGGGATGTACGGGGGCCGGAAGCGGCGGGAGATTTGAAAATTTTAAAAACTGACATTCACTAAATACACTAAAATCACATAGTATAACATTACTGTATCAAACCATTTCACATACATTTTGTCCCGAGTCCTTTGTCCTGTGCCCTGCCTGCATTTTTACTGTTCTTTCTGCCTGGAAATTGAGAAACATCCATGGCGTCCAAAAAGCGTCCACCGGCAGTGGCACAGTTGTCTAGAAAAGTGTGTCGCTTCACAAGGGGACTACTTTGAGGGTGATAACAGCCGCTAGAGTATAGGTATGTAAACATGTTTTTTTATATGGTCCATTCCAGGAATGAAATTTTCACATTTTGAATCATGTTACAGTGATGACCTACAGATAATTTGTTTAAAGCGATCCTTTAAAAAAGAAACAAATTAGGCAGTTCTTGTAAAAAACTTAAAGTAGACAAAACTTTTTTTTCATTTTGGATAGAGTAAGGGGGATTCATAACCCCATCATCTGTGTTTTTTGCCATCTGTGTACCATTAATAAGATTTCCCCCTCAATTCCTGTCCCATGGCCAAAACAGGAAGTGAGAAGAGATCCCACAATGGTGAGGGAATCCCTGGGTGTCACCAGGATCACCAGAACTAGTTTCCCCATTGGAAGACTTCTCTATTCCTGTTCTAGGGGCAACCCAAAATTTTTTTTTTTTTAATTTTTCACTCTCAGTGATAATGGTAGACAGGACAAATAGAGAGAGTGAATCTCCCTAACAGGGAGCCAGTTAGTAATCTCGGATTTAATTAGGTGGAAATGGTGAGAATGGTCGGAGGGCCTTTTTCCTCCCGGGTTGATTCTGGCCTTGTGCACCTGGTTGTAGGCAAAGCTCTCCCTAAGCTTTCTAAGTTCTGATGCCTTCCTGGTAGGGATGGGGCTGCACTGGTCTTGCCGAGGGCCTGGCTGTGAACGGAGGCCACGGTGTATGTGCCTCTGGAGTGGCAGTCCAGGGGTGCCACAATTCTTACATCGAGAGAGCTCACTTTGAGTTTTAGACACCATGGCTACTGCACCAGTCACGCTTTATTTTGTACCTGCCTCTAGGTCTGGGCCTTTTGGACAGAACCAGAGGAATGTTTTTATTCTTGGCCGAATGGCCCGCTATGGTATTGCACTATGGCACTTATAGCACTAATCCACTTCCCCCTTCCCTTATTTATGTGTGCTTGTCGCTGCACTTTGTGCACAGCACTGTACACACTTTTCACTTCCCTGATTAGGGTGTAGCTCCTCAGGTCTGCCCTGAAAGTCTTGGGTGTGAGGGCACATTAATTTTTGGTCAGGTTCTCCCCCTCCCATGGGGTCTCCCTTAAGGGGCCCCACTGAGTACTTGGGGTGGCCTTGCTTTGGCATGCCTTTTGAAGAAAGGTGTCCAACTGGTTTTGGCCAGGTGGACCAGTGAGTGCCTTAATCTCTGTCAGAAGCCTTGCACCCTGGGGGGGTCAGAGCTAGGGCCCTTTCTCTTCCAAGAAGGGCCAGACGTACACCCTGTGCAGCTTTTTGTGTGCTTCACTTTGTGTGCATGTGTTCACTACAAAGCGGGACTTCAGAAAAAAAAATCTGCCCATCCTCCTGTCTCCACCACTGATTTTCAGTGCCGTGTTGCAGAGCTACTGCTGCTTTAAGAATCTTCTGCATCTGACACTTTCTAGATCAGTGGTTCTCAACCTTTCTAATGCCGCGACCCCTTAATACAGTTCCTCATGTTGTGGTGACCCCCAACCATAAAATTATTTTCGTTGCTACTTCATAACTGTAATTTTGCAGTGGGAGGAATAGTGCCTCATCATTGGTGTCAGTGGGAGGAATAGTGCCCCATCACTGATGTCAATGGGAGGAATAGTGCCCCATCATTGGTGTCAGTGGTAGGAATAGTGCCCCATCATTGGTGTCAGTGGTAGGAATAGTGCCCCATCATAGGTGTCAGTGGGGGGAATAGTGCCCCATCATTGGTGTCAGTGGGAGGAATAGTGCCCCATCATTGGTATCAGTGGGAGGAATAGTGCCACGTCATTGGTGTCAGTGGGAGGAATAGTGTCCCATCACTGATGTCAATGGGAGGAATAGTGCCCCATCATTGGTATCAGTGGTAGGAATAGTGCCCCCATCATTGGTGTCAGTGGTAGGAATAGTGCCCCATCATTGGTGACAGTGGTAGGAATAGTGCCCCATCATAGGTGTCAGTGGGGGGAGGAATAGTGCCCCATCATTGGTGTCAGTGGGGGGAGGAATAGTGCCCCATCGTTGGTGTCAGTGGGGGGAGGAATAGTGCCCCATCGTTGGTGTCAGTGGGGGGAGGAATAGTGCCCCATCGTTGGTGTCAGTGGGGGGAGGAATAGTGCCCCATCGTTGGTGTCAGTGGGGGGAGGAATAGTGCCCCATCGTTGGTGTCAGTGGGGGGAGGAATAGTGCCCCATCGTTGGTGTCAGTGGGGGGAGGAATAGTGCCCCATCGTTGGTGTCAGTGGGGGGAGGAATAGTGCCCCATCGTTGGTGTCAATGGGAGGAATAGTGCCCCATCATAGGTGTCAGTGGGGGGAATAGTGCCCCATCGTTGGTGTCAGTGGGGGGAGGAATAGTGCCCCATCGTTGGTGTCAGTGGGGGGAGGAATAGTGCCCCATTGTTGGTGTCAGTGGGGGGAGGAATAGTGCCCCATCGTTGGTGTCAGTGGGGGAGGAATAGTGCCCCATCGTTGGTGTCAGTGGGGGGAGGAATAGTGCCCCATCGTTGGTGTCAGTGGGGGGAGGAATAGTGCCCCATCGTTGGTGTCAATGGGAGGAATAGTGCCCCATCATAGGTGTCAGTGGGGGAATAGTGCCCCATCATTGGTGTCAGTGGGGGGAATAGTGCCCCATCATTGGTGTCAGTGGGGGGAATAGTGCCCCATCATTGGTGTCAGTGGGGGGAATAGTGCCCCATCATTGGTGTCAGTGGGGGGAATAGTGCCCCATCATTGGTGTCAGTGGGAGGAATAGTGCCCCATCACTGGTGTCAGTGGGAGGAATAGTGTTCCATCACTGGTGTCAGTGGGAGGAAAAGTGCCCCATCATTGGTGTCAGTGGGAGGAATAGTGCCCCATCACTGGTGTCAGTGGGAGGAATAGTGCCCCATCATTGGTGTCAGTGGGGGGAATAGTGCCCCATCATTGGTGTCAGTGGGAGGAATAGTGCCCCATCACTGGTGTCAGTGGGAGGAATAGTGTCCCATCACTGGTGTCAGTGGGAGGAATAGTGCCCCATCATTGGTGTCAGTGGGGGAATACGGCCCCATTATTGGTGTCAGTGGGAGGAATAGTGCCCCATCATTGGTATCAGTGGGAGGAATAGTGCCCCCATCGTTGGTGTCAGTGGGAGGAATAGTGCCCCATCGTTGGCATCAGGGGGAGCAATAGTGCCCCAACATTGGTGTCAGTGGAGGAATAGTGCCCCATCGTTGGTATCAGAGGGAAGTATAGTGCCCCATCGTTGGTGTCAGTGGGAGGAATAGTGCCCCATCGTTGGTGTCAGTGGGAGGAATAGTGCCCCCATCGTTGGTGTCAGTGGGAGGAATAGTGCCCCATCGTTGGTGTCAGTGGGGGGAGGAATAGTGCCCCATCATTGGTAATAGTGACACCAATGATTGGGCACTATTCCTCCCACTGACACCAATGATACTTACCTTGCTGACCCCTGCTCCAGCCTGGGCTCGCTCGCTCCCTCCCTCTCCCATGGTACAAACACTTACCGGTCAGATGGCTTCCTTCTCCGGCCGCTTTCCTCCTCTTCACTCGCTCGTGCTTCGCGGTGCCGCTCGGCTCCTCCTTTCCAAGCTCCACCTCCTCGCCGGTGATTGGCCGCCTGTGTGCCTCTCTTGAGCTACAGTTCCGGCGGCCAATCACCGAATGGGAAGGATTGATCCCGGGGGTGTGTCCAGATGACAGGGACGGCATGTCATCCCGCCCACACCTGCAGACGGATCAAGGAGCGGTGTCTCGGTTCCTAAGGCCATTGGAAATATGTGTTTTCCGATGGTCTTAGGCGACCCCTGGGAAAGTGTCGTTCGACCCCCAAAGGGGTCGCGACCCCCAGGTTGAGAACCGCTGTTCTAGAGGGTCAGATGCTTTGTACTCCTTTGTGCCCTGGGGTTCCTGCCGCCAACCCCTATATTACTAACAAACACAGTAGGCAATAGAAGGAACCATGGTCCTTACCCAAAGACTAGACATCGGACACAACCAGAAATATGTCAGATGCAGAAGATTCTTTGGCAGCAGTAGATAAGATCATCAGCACAGCCAGTGAGATAATAGTAATAACTGTGTAGCACTTACCCCTGAAGGAGCCAAGTTTTCTAGGGCATAGGCTTTTTAATGAATGGGAAAACCTGGGAAAAGTCCATGATCAGAGCCAGGAAAAAGGGGGTGGAGGGGGGTGCAGTGTTGGGGGGCGGCATGACTGCTGATTTGGCCGATGGTAACAATCTTCTTTGACAGGAGTGACTGAGGAAGGATCTGCAGGAAAGAGGATTAATCTTTCTCCTCCCTCCTGCAGCAGCGGAAGAGAGATGGAATAAGACTGAGAACTCATCTCAGACTCAGCACGGGAGAGGAAGGAGGAGCTGACTTCATCACAGGTGACTGTGAGTACAAGAGGGTAGGTTGGGGCACAACTTTGATGTTTGGAGACACTGTGATGTATGGGGACACTGTGATGGGGGACACCTGATGTATTGGGACACTGAGATGGGGGACACCTGATGTATGGGGTTACTGTGATGGGGGCACATGATGTATGGGTACACTGTGATATGGGGACATTTAAAACACACACACACATATGCACATCCACAGGTTGAACTGGATGGACTGGTGTTTTTATTCAGCATTACCAACTATGTAAATATGGTGTCCTGGAGTCGGACTTGGGGGAGGCTGCTCCTCAGCCTGACCGAGGAGGACTTGTAGACTGCCGGGAGGAGGAGGTGAAAACCATCCTGCTGCTGGACAGACCACTGCTGCCACTACCGCTGGGTGCTGCCCATGGAGAACCTGCTGCTGGAGGTGACATAGAGACTGCTGGAAGAGATGGACCTGGGGTTCCCCTTCCCCACAGATCCTCTGTTAGGATGAAGACTTAGTGGCATCCAGGGTGGCTTATATACCCGGGGAGATAACGGGACTGTGTGGTGCTCTAGGTGACCAATCCTGGCATTGACAGCAGAGGACCAGCACTAATTCACAGCTGGGTGTGGTTGGACAGCACTAATTCACAGCCAAGAATGGCCAGGCGGCTAGCAGAACGGAGTCCCTGGGTGCCACCCTTCTGGCTGGTGTCACCCGGGTGGGGTCTACACCCCCCTAGCCACCATATTGACACCACTGCCCAGAATGCACTGCTGTCCACATCCCCATGCTCCCTGGGTGGTGGACAGGGTTTAAAGGGGCTGCACACACCCCTGTAACAACAGTGTATTTTTTCTTTTCTCTCTCTTCTTTCCCCTCATCGTTCCTGAGCTTGATAATTTGAAATGAGAATAGAAAGTGCAGTGCAGCAGCGGTGATAATAGCCCAGTCCCTACTATCAGACATTGCAGTGCTGTGGACCAGAGGCTACAAATGTGTTCTTTTAGGCCTTGTTCACAAGTACAGCCAAAGGACAATAAAAAGAAGCGATTGATCTGCATTTTTACGACCCCACTGAATTCAGAAGGTGACATAATGCTTCCAAGCTGCCATTCAACTACCTCTGAAAATCGACCCACCATGGATTCCTGTTCAGAGGGGCAGTATACCCTACTGCACATCTAAAAAATATTTTCAGTGAAGGGGTCAGTTTAAAGGAAACCAGAGGGTGCCAATGCTACTATATTAACTTTTGGTATCAAGAAATAATGGCCCTGCTAACACCAATTCTGCCTGTAACCATAACACTCTCCCTACCTGTAACCCCAAAACTAAACCTCAAACTAAGTCTCCCTGAAAACCTAACACTAATCCCCCCCCATCTATTGAATATAAGAATTACATATGGTCTAAGAATTTGGGCTAGCTGTTCATTGGACGGAGATCATGTGACCTCATGCCTAGGAAAATTCTGCTGTTGAGGCAACTACATAATTTCATTCTTAGAGAGGGTTGTGCAGGATGAAGAAAGTTAGTTTTGGTGATAGGTCTGCTTTAACAAGCCCACATGCCTGAACACCAATTTAATCCTCATGTCCCTCAAAATGAAATTTCCCACCGCAAACGCCATTCAGCATGAACCAAGTCCAAGATCAGGCAAGAATGTTTCTCTCATTATGGCTTCATTCATCAAGTCTCTTGGATCAATATACCAGTGTTAATCATGAATACCAATATACTGCCCAATCAATAGCCTCTTGTGAAGTGTAGTATAAAATATTGATGGAAATGTTTATTGATAAAAGCTTGGACATGTTCCGCGGTAAAACTTTCCTATCTCTGCTGTTGTGTGAGGACTGGAGGGCAGCTCTAAATATCTCTGCCTTATAATAAAAAGATGATATAGTATAGAAATGTGACATTGACTGGGAAAACGCCGACAACCTGATTAGACGCATAAAATACTTAAATAGGGTAGCAGGACCTTTGGGATTAGTGTCACCAGGTATACCAAGAAAATGACTCTGCTTGGGGGTCTGTTGAGGAATTGAAATAAAATAATTCACTGCGCTGGATAACCTTTCTTTTTTTTAAAAGCACCTTTTTTTTTATTGTAAAAGTTATAGTCAATTTTTAACCAGGATAATGTTTTAAAGAAAAAGTATAATGGCTTTGCAGTGAACACATATTATTGCATTATTTACATTAAAGTGTTACTAAACCCAGGACCCTACATTCACTAAATCCAGTCTTCCACAGTACACACAACATGTAAGTGCAATTATTTTAGTAAATATAAACAGCTACATACCTTTTCTCATCAGTAGTTAGAGCAGTCTTGTGACTTCAGCAGAGCACTGGTTAAAGCTTGCAGGAGGAGTTTTCTTTCTGCTCTAGGAGGATGTGAAACCTCCGACCCTCTGTCTGGACATTGGTGACTGGCCCTGTGCTGATCACATGCACTCTCCCAAGAAAAAAAAACCTTCTCTAGCAATACACACCAAACTGAGCATGTAAATGTGACCACGGGTCCAGTCTGTATCTATGCATGAATGCATGCCTGCTGCTTAGGGGGCTCTTCCTCCTCATTGGCTGAGACAGTAGCGGGAGCCCAATTGCTACCGCTGCTGTCAATCCCTACCAGTGAACCAATGAGGAGAGAGCAAGGGGGGAGAGCTGAGGGCGAGCCGTGGCTTTGTGTGTCTTATGGATGTATAGAGCAGCGGCTCGGAGATGAGCACGCAGCGGTGCATCCAGGGTAAGCAGCTTTCCCTGGGGACACTGCTTAAGGGGGAGGAGCCAGGAGCCC